CTGATGTTTCTTTATTCATCTATACTCGTGCCTCTATTTGTTTATATTTGCTTGTCTATGTTGATGATATCCTTGTTATGGGGTCTGATGCTTCGTGTGTTACTCCGCTTCTTACTGACTTAGCCTCAGAGTTTAAGATTCATGACATGGGTGCTCCGTCTTTTTTTCTTGGCATTGAGACGGTCTCCAAGGATGGTGGTTTGTTTCTTTCTCAGCAGCGATACATGCGAGATATTTTGAGCCGTGCAGCTATGGTGGACTGTAAACCGTTGGCTACTCCGGTTCCTGTGTCCCGACCTTCTTCTGATTCTGTGGTTCCCTATGCGGATCCCACGCAGTATCGCAGTCTTGCTGGGGCTCTACAGTATCTTACTGTTACTCGTCCGGATCTCTCTTTTGCCGTGAATCGGGTCTGTCAGCATATGCACTCTCCAACCACTGAGCATTGGGCTATGCTCAAGCGTGTTCTGCGGTATGTAAAAGGAACTCTGCACTTTGGTCTTTTTATTCGTCCTTCCTCCTCTGTTGCGGTTCATGCCTTTTCGGATTCGGACTGGGCTGGTGATCCAGCTGACAGGAAGTCTACTAGTGGTTTTGCGGTTTTTCTTGGTGGCAATCTGATTTCCGGTCTTGTCGGAAGCAACGCACGGTTGCTCGTTCGTCTACAGAGGCTGAATACAAGGCTCTGGCTGATGTGTTTGCGGAGGTCACCTGGTTGGTTTCTCTATTGCACGAGCTTGGAGTGTCATTGGCTGCTCCTCCCACTCTCTGGTGTGATAATTTGGGTGCGACTTATCTCTGTTCCAACCCGGTGTTCCATGCTCGTACGAAGCATGTGGAAATTGATTACCACTTTGTTCGTGACAAAGTGGCGAAGAAGGAGTTGCAGGTTAGCTTCATTTCCACAAAGGATCAGCTCGCTGATGTGTTCACTAAAGCTCTCCCTGGTCCGCGTTTCTCTACTCTATGTGGCAAGCTCAATGTTGTTGCTAGTCCACCTTGTGCTTGAGGGGGAGTATTAGGACTCTATCATCATTAGTATTCGTTACCTATTATTATTAGTAATTAGTATTCGTTACCTATTATTATTAGTATTCGTCTTGTAATAGGTTTATTATTCACTACTATATATACTCCTGTACAGACTCATTATTATTCATTCAGATATATCGTATCCTCATAATAATAATAATAATAATAATAATAATAATAATAATAATAATAATAATAATAATAATAATAATAATAATAATAATAATAATAATAATAATAATAATAATAAGAGTAATTAATAAAGAATGGTGAGGGTAAAATTGTCATATTAGTTTTCCATGGAAAACAAAATACCTAACATGAGCTAGGAATTTGTTTTCTTCATTCTCAAGGAAAACTTTTTTCAATGGAAAATATTTTCCATCCAACCAAACAACATAAAACATCATTTTCCTTCGTTTTTAGAAAAACATTTTTCATGAAAAATATTTTCTATCCAACCAAACACCCCGTAAGACTTGTCATGTGAATATAATAAATATATATAATAATAACAGGTGTGAAAGCTAGATATATTTCATCGCAATAATTAAGTTGTGTTTGTCCACTTCTTTTTGACTTTTTGTACACAATAATGTTGATTGACATGATGACATGACATGACATGATTTACATGTATTATCCTAGAGGGTTGAATAATAAACTTTTAAAATCTTATAAGTTTGAACTTGTTATGAGATTAGAGTCTAAAACTAGTTGGTGAAAATAACATTAACACCCTTATTGTATTCTCTTGACCTCGGCTAAGACAGTATATGATTTCAATCCCAAGACACCTCATAGCATCTTGGATGTGTAAATGCGTACCAACAATAACGACTCTACAAGCGTATCAGAGGATATGTAAAAGTGCACTTTAGACAATTGTACTTTTAGATATTAATATATCATATGGTACACATTGATGTACATATTATTGGATGCAGCTTACAATTAATATTGCTTTGGTGTACTTTTAGTTTTGAAAAAGTGAAATATTTATCAAAATATAATTTCGTTTTACCTCTTACTTCAAAATTATTAATCATCTCAAATCGATAGCTAACATTAGTCTCCATTTTTACTTCGTGGCTTATTCTTACATGAAACATCTCTCTCAATAATTATAAAATTGAATCAATTTTTTTTTCTTATTTTATTAAACCCCTTAACTATTGATAAATTTTTATAATCGGTTTTGATAATTCATCACTTTTTCTTCTGTTTTTTTTTTTCAAAAAAAAAATCACGTTCTCATTTGAATTTAATATGGTGCACATAGAACCAAGTCAATCAAACACTTGTACAAGTCAATTAAAGAATGAGAATCAGAGTATTAGAGCACGCATCTACATCAGTTTGGTTTTTGCCCAATATTTAAGAAGTCAGTCAGAGAGAGATGAAGAGAGAGAAGAAGAAAAAAAAAGGGAAAAGGGGAAAAAACTAATCTAACGCAAAAAAAAAAAAAAAAAAAAAAAAAAAACCAATAACACGTCAATCGCGCCCGGCTGGACGCTTGGACATTGACTGTGCGCACAACTGTGCCTTTCTTCAAGATTTCTCTCTCTTAATGGACCTCACAAAAATAATTCTTGCCGGACATACTCATTTTTCTCTTGCTTACCTTTTCTTTTCTCCATCTCAACTTAGAGCATCCACAATGGTTGGGGAGAATTGGGGGATAATGTAAGAGTGATTAGGAGAGAGAATGTGAGAAGGGGAGTAAAAAAAACAAAAAAAAAAACCAAAATAAAAAAAAACAAAAAAAAAACAGAAGAGTTAGGCGCGCCTGACGCGCCCGTGTGGGCTGGCTGCTGTGCGCACAACTCATGTTTTGTTTTTTACTTTTTTCTGTTTTTTTTGCCATTATCCCTTTCATTTGCAGGACAATTATTTTTGAATTATCTCCACCCCACATTAGCTATTAACTCTAGTTGGAAAGAAAGCAAATTGAAATATTTTGGTGGGGATGCTCTTAGACTAATTCCAACAGTGGTCATTCTCTCTTGGGGCTGGTGCCATAACCTTAACTCTTTTGTGGAATCTTCAAAGATTCTTCCATTGATATTGTCTACAATGCATGTGACCAGCTCAGCACCTAGCAAAATTTTCCACAAAAAATTATTTATTTTTGTCCTATATCCAACACCATTATTTTCCAACTCTTTAATTTCCAGAAATACTACTGGTAAAATTAAATACATAATTAATCAACAAAATTTTTAAGTATTTAATATGTATATATATTTGTAGGATTTTAATTAATATTTCCTTGTAGTGAGATTTTGTGTGCACATTACTACTCAAAGACATTCTTTATTTTCTTAAAAAAATTAGAGAAAGAAAAATAAAAAAATGCATTTACTTGTATTTTTCTTAAAATTGAAATTAGATCATGAAGAATGAAAAACTAATGCTCATATAAAATTTGAAAAAAAAAATGGAAAATAGATATACTTTATTGTCAAACAATCAAACATGACGCGACAAAAGTGTTGTGATAGTTGCTTAAAATGTTTATTCATAACACACGAATATCAATAGTTGCAGTAGAAAAAGACAGTTTAGTAATCAACTTATTCAACTCATTGAGTGAGACCACTAGGGAATGAGTGATTATTTCTTTTTGGATTTTACTACATTTACTTCAAATCTTTACTCCATTTGTTTTAATTTATTCCTTAATGTGACAAAAATATTTTATTCATCTTGTAGGTCCTATGAAAAATATTAAAATCAAAATTTTTAGTCAAAGAGTAAACTTAGAGAATAGAACTTGGAGTTCAAATAGTATTTTTCCTTTATTTTAACTAAAGCTATACATGGTTTATCCTAATAAGAAATTTTTAATCATGTCATTGACGCACATCATATGTTAATTTCATTTTTATCATGGTTACGCCACATTATCATGAGGTTGCCCCCAAGACTAAAAGATCTAATATAATATTAGAGTTTTAGGTGATAGTCCTTTGGTTGGTTCTATCCACTAGTTTAGAGTTAGTTTATTTTGAGTACTATTCACTTTATTACAATGTAGTATCTTTTCATAACTATTAAAACACAAAGAGTCAATACGTCTTAACAGTCTAGTATATTTAATATTATGAGGCTTATTGCAATAAATCTTAGTGAGTTCTCTTTGTAGATTGTAAATGAAGAGTTAATTATTTATAAATGCCAGTTTAGTGCACTAAATGTGTGTGTAGAAAATTTGAAGATGTCCATCAACCCCAATGATTTTTATAGTTGGTAGCACTACAAAATCCATAGTATTTGCACAAATTCAAAAATTTTGGCTTTTGACTAATAGTTTTTTTTTTTTTTTTTAATTTCTCAACCTTCTAAGCACAAGGTGTTTGGTTTTTGAATATTAAGTAATATACTACACTATTAACTAATAGTGTAGTATATTTATATTATGGGGTTAGTGCAGTAAATACCTTAGTGAGTTCCCGAAATAGATTCTAAATGAAGAGTTAATTTCTAAATGTCAACTTAGTGCAATAAATGTGTGGAAAATTTGAAGAGTGCACATAAAAATCAATAAATGTACACTGAAGATCAATATTAAGTGTACGTAACATTATTATTTGTTGCACCAAACGTTATCATTAAGTGTATTAATGTGAAAGACTTTATCATTAGGTGCACCAATACTGTTAAAAAGGTAATTACTTGCACTATTAAATGAAAATTGTTACACTTTTTAAGTGATTTTACTTGCACACTTGCATTTTTAACACATGTTACTTGCATTGTACCAAAGTTCAAGTTATTTATGAAAATGTCACAGCTTCTTTTTTTTTTTGTTCTAAAATTACATCTGATCCGTTAAATCTGAACATGAACACCGTTGCAATTGGTCCTCACAGTTCTTCCTGGACATCCGTTCTCCCGAGAGTGCCCCTATATATATATATATATATATATATATATATATATATATATATATATATATATATACACGCAAACACCCAACAAGTGGATTATCTCTTCGTTTCTAGCTAGCTCTAATTGGGCTGATTAGTCCTTTTCTACCATCTATCCTTTTTTCCATTTCTGTACACTAAAGAACAATGGGTTCTGTAGAAATGGAGGCTCCGACAATCTATGAAGGAGATATAAAGGAAGACGAACTTTCTCCGGTGGAGGAAGTCCGGCTAACCGTACCGAACACCGACGACCCGACCCTGCCGGTATGGACCTTCAGAATGTGGGTCCTAGGACTGCTCTCCTGCGTCCTCCTCTCCTTCCTCAACCAGTTCTTTTCTTACAGGAAGGAGCCGCTGATCATCACCCAGATCACGGCGCAGGTGGCCACACTCCCCATCGGCCGGTTCATGGCCGCCACGTTGCCGACGGCGAAGTTCCGAGTCCCAGGGTTCGGGTCCCGGGAATTCTCGCTTAACCCGGGTCCGTTTAACATGAAGGAACACGTTCTGATCACCATTTTTGCGAACGCTGGGTTTGCCTTTGGAGATGGAACTGCTTACGGGGTTGGGATTGTGAACATTATAATCGCTTTTTATCGGAGGAAAATCTCCTTGTACACTGGTTGGCTTCTTATTCTTACCACACAGGTAAATTTAAAAATTAAAAAAAAATATCCGAGGTTGTATCATTTATTTATTAATTATGTAGGCTAGAATGAAGTCGAAAAAATTGATGTTAAAAATGTCAAAAAATTGACATTAAAAGTGTTATTTGTTGTAATGCGACTTTAATTATTTTCTTTTCTTGGTTGATGTGGTGACTTATTATGGCAGATTCTTGGGTATGGCTGGGCTGGACTTCTACGAAAATACGTAGTTGAGCCAGCTCACATGTGGTGGCCAAGCAACCTTGTACAAATCTCACTATTCCGGTATAAATGTCTATTTATCTATTCTTATATCATAGATCATGACCCTTCTTACATTATGAACTCTAGTTTAAAACGATATTTCAATTATGTCTACAGTTAATATACTATGTATCTTATGTATAAATAGTTAATAAACTATGTTACCCTCCAATTTGTTTATATGTACATAGTATATTAATTGCATACGCATGTTAATTGCAACCACATAAATGCCATTTTGGACCAGAGTATACAATGCAAGGTGGATCTGATCCATGGTATAATTGCCTGGATTTATCTTTAAGGAAAATTATACCATGGATTAGAGTCCACTTTGTATTGTACGTGGACCTTGATTCAAAATGCCATTCAAATTATATATTTACCGTTAATATATTATGTATTAACACTTAAATAAATTAGAGACACCTAACCTGATAGGTACATAATATGTAAACAATATATTAGGTGCCTGTAATTAATATATTATGTGGTACTAAATAAATTAAAGGCATGTAATATATTAACAGTAGCCACATAATTTTTGAGTTAGATTTCACAACGCAAGGTGTAACTTGGTCCATGTTATAACAATGGTATCTTTAGCTTAAATCATCACAAAACTGATAGTGGTGAACATTAAGGTTCTTGTCCATTATATTTGATTCACAGGACACTTCATGAAGAGGAAAACGAAGAAGATGACAAGAAGCGGCATATGTCCCGTTCAAAATTCTTCGTGATTGCCCTAACTTGCAGCTTCTGCTGGTACTTGTTCCCTGGCTATCTCTTCCAGAGCCTTCAGAGCATTTCCTGGGTTTGCTGGGCATTCCCCAGATCTGTGACTGCACAGCAGATTGGTTCTGGGATGAATGGCCTGGGCCTTGGAGCACTCACACTAGACTGGTCAACAATAGCCTCATTTCTGTTCAGCCCTCTTGTTAGCCCATTCTTTGCCATTGCAAACGTGTTTGTGGGCTATGTGATTGCGATGTATGTTGTGATTCCTGTGTTCTATTGGGGGTTCAATGTGTACAATGCCAAGAACTTTCCGATCTACTCGTCGGACTTGTTCACTGCGCAAGGGCAAATGTATAACATATCCGCCATTGTTAATGAGAGGTTTGAGCTTGATGAAGGTGGATATGCTAAGCAAGGGAAGATCCATTTGAGCATCATGTTTAGTACTTTGACTTATGGGTTTGGGTTTGCCACAGTTGCATCTACACTTTCTCATGTTGGAGTGTTTTATGGAAGGTAATGATCAAGTGTCACTGGTAGAAATTATGGAATTTCCGACCACCTGAAAGTGGTGAAAAACCTTTGTTGCTATTTCCGACCACTTCAGGTGGTCAGAAATTCCATAATTTTCAGCAGTGGTGTTTTCTTGCTAGTTTGTCAGCATAATATGATCTTTGGTTTTGTGGTACAATAACTTGATTGTGTGCAGAGAGATTTATGATCGATATCGAGCTTCTTCAAATGAAAAGGTGGATATTCATACAAGATTGATGAGAAAGTACAAAGACATACCTTCTTGGTGGTTTTACCTACTTCTTTTAGTGACAATGATTGTTTCACTTGCAATGTGTATCTTCTTGAAAGAGGAGGTCCAGATGCCATACTGGGGGCTGCTGCTTGCAGCTGCTGTTGCTTTCATCTTTACCCTACCCATTAGTATCATTACTGCTACCACAAACCTGGTAATTCTGCTACCTAGCTAGTCCCTCAATGCTTTTAAGGTTTTAGATTTTTATGTTTTTTTTTTCTCTTCTCCTTAGTATATATATCTTTTTGGTTAAGACAGACACCAGGACTAAATATCATAACAGAGTACATTATGGGTGTGATCTATCCTGGAAGACCCATAGCTAATGTTTGCTTCAAGACCTATGGTTACATGAGCATGGCTCAAGCTGTTTCTTTCCTTAGTGACTTCAAGTTGGGTCATTACATGAAGATTCCTCCAAGGTCAATGTTCTTGGTTCAGGTATATATATTACACTTTTCCTCATAAGTATTACAATTTTCTCATAAATAACTCTTCAACCCTTAATATTACATTTTTATTCATACGTATTACACTTCATCTCATAAGTAACAATCAATCAATCAGTCAAGTATTTCATTTTTTTCACACATAACTGTTTAACCCTTAAATATTATATTTTTATTTAAAAGTATTACACTTCTCTTCAAAAAACATTATATTTCCATTCCCAAGGACCTTGTGGTGCAGTGGCACTAAGTTGTTCTCCCATATGAGAAGTTGTGGGTTTGAACTTCAGTGAAGACAGTATTGACTAAGAAAGTAGTTATAAACAAATACTGATCCAGCCGGATCTATGAATAATATATTTGATCACTTATTACATGCAGTTCCTTGGAACCATCATTGCTGGAACAACCAACATCCTTGTTGCCTGGTGGCTCTTACATTCTATAGACAACATATGCCACCAGGACAAGTTCTCAAACAGTCCCTGGACCTGTCCTGGTTCCCATGTCTTCTATGATGCATCTGTAATCTGGGGACTGGTTGGTCCCAAGAGGATTTTTGGCTCTCTTGGAGACTACTCTGCCCTCAACTGGTTCTTTCTCGGAGGAATTTTAGGCCCAGTTCTAATATGGCTCCTCCACAAAGCATTCCCTTCACAGACATGGATTACCCTCATCAACCTCCCTGTTCTTCTTGGAGCAACTTCCCAGATCCCACCGGCAACTTCCTTAAACTACACTTCCTGGATTTTGGTTGGGACTGTGTTCAACTTCTTTGTGTTTAGGTACCGGAAGAAATGGTGGCAGAGGTATAACTATATTCTGTCGGCGGCGTTAGATGCCGGCGTTGCATTCATGGCGGTGTTTCTGTACTTCACGGTGGGGTTGGAGAACAAGAATGTGTCATGGTGGGGGACCAATGACCCTGAACATTGTGATCTTGCTACTTGTCCCACGGCTAAGGGTATATTGGTGGAGGGTTGCCCTACATTTTAGTGTATGTAAACATTTGTGTATTATATTATAAGCTAGCACTTATATAAATATACACAGAGATATTAGTTGGGCATATAACAAACAATGAACAAAGTCGCTTTTACTTAAAATTGTATTATACTTTTCAGCACCCAGGAGAAGCATTGACTCTTCGTGTTTCAATAGGTTGAAAAAGTATGTACCGATAGATACTACATTGTAATAGTGTCGGTAGTACTAAAAAAAAAAGTACTCCCTATTATACTTTGCAGCACGATATGCACTTGGTGTAACATAAATTTTTCGGGTGACTTTTTTTTTTTTGGATTTTGGAATTAGGAGGGAGAAACCAAAGAAATTAGTATCAGTGCTTGATGAGAAAGATTTTAATATTTGTTACTCATATGTCTTAGTACTATATATATATATATATATATATATATATATATATATATATATATATATATATAATTTGGATCAAATAAGAATTTGCGGACATGAAAGAACTAGGAGTCAATCAGAGTTGTCTAGTTAGAAATATATAACAACCCGAAGGGAGGGAAGGGAAAAACGTGGTGACACTTTCTTGGGATAAAAAGCACTTTCCATATTATTGTATGTTATATTTTTTCTCCCAAAATTAACATATTTATTTATTTAAATTTTAGCAACAATATAGTTCAATTTTTTTAAATGTATTTGTTTTTAAAAATTTATAGCATTATAATTGCTAAGAAAATGTATTATTATTATATTCATTCATTCCAAATGATAGATAGTATAATTACAAATATTCATACCTTATACACACTCAACCTTAGAAAATGAAATATAATTAATAGTTATCAAATAATACATAATTAAACCAACCACGTACAAGAATATGATTACAATATAAGTTTCAACACGATTCAACCTAATTTCCATATTCATAACCAAAATATCATCACATATAGAGTGAGAAATCCTATCAACATTATGACTTTGAAAATGGATATTGTCTTGCATTTCTGGATGAAGCTAAGTTTGATCGATGACCATTTCTTTCATCTACTCCCTACAATGAAAAAAATACAAAGTATAAAATAACAAGAATTGGAAGGTCTATATATATGGGGTAGTGATAGATGAAAGATTATTGTCTCTACCATGTAAGGAATGCATGATTGGTCTAGCAAGACAATATTCATTTTCAAGTCCTAGAAATCTACAAGTATACATATTTAAGAAATCAATGTGGTGGGTTTCTTGTGGGCACCATATACACTGGTCCTTCCACCTAAAAAATTGTCGAATCATCATGATTTACCTCTACCATTCTATCGGGTTAGAGTGTGAAGATTCTTGGGGCGAGGGGTTTCTCCTTTTGTAAGAAAGTATGATGCAACAAACATCAATCTTAACTAAAAATCAAATTAAAAAAAAAAAACAATTAATAAAATACCATTTCAATCTTCTAGCGAAGCTTTTAGACCTACAAGCAATTAGTTAGTGTAAAATTCCAAGCTAAAACAAGATCCATCCCATAAGCTGCCACCAATTCAAGAAGGAGATGATCAAAACAAATTCCAAAGCATGAATCCACCATTAAAACCAAACCCTACAAAAAAATAATGAAATTATAAGCACAAACAAACCATATATAGGCTTATAAAAGTGAATGAAGAAGAGCTGCTAATATGATTGGCTGCAAATTATACAACCAAAGATGGTTTTTTTACTTTTCGGCCCCATTGAACATTGTTGGACTCGACTCTTCAACATCCTGCCATCGAAACATAGCGTTGACTAATACACAAGTATAAGAAAATAAAGTTGAACTTTCGCTACTAGTTATAACTTTTGGCGTTGTGGTAAGCGCTTGATACTAGCTGACAATTGATATCAGAGTAAGTCATGAAGCAGGTGCTAGGATGAGATTGTTGGGTGGCCGCTTGAAAAGCCAACCAGGTGCTGAGAGGAGATGGAGAGTATAGTCAAGTATCCGTAGGAACCATAGTGATAAGTGCTTGATCTAACAAACATAATTCTTGAATTCGCGGTTGCATATAATGTGTGTATCAAGTAACTCCAGGAGTTCCTCCAAACACTTCAGTGAGCTTCCTATGCCCTAAATTTAAGGGTTAAAGGAGTAATCAATGAAGTGCTCAGAGGAACTCTAGGGGATACCTGAAGAGCTGTGGCCTTTATTGCTTCACTCAACTCTCATGGTGTTGTTATATATAAGTGTTTGTATGTCACGTGGCTGCCTGTACTTAGGCTAAAGCCTGAAGGTATAGAGCAACAGCTGGTGTACCTAGCCCTAACTTTGGACTATATTACTGATAGAGAATCAAGGTCCACTGAGATTAATCGTGAGATCAACCTTACTAGCATTGTTGCAAAAATTGCACCTAGGCGTCAATTACGATTAATCGGCGCCTAGGCGCTAAACGGTCGGCCTCCTAGGCGCTCTAGGCAGTCCCCAGGCGTTTTTCAACATTTACCAATGCACCGAAAGCTATATATACATTGAAGTTAATGCGTAATTTTATTTTTTTTTATAAATACATAATGCCCAACGCCATATTTAGATCGTAAAATACTGGATTCGTTCATCCAAACATTTGCCAACAGGATCAATCAACATAAATTAATATAACTTTGCATAACAATGGTAGCTTAATTTTCAGCAAGACATCGGATTAAAACAAGTTGATTTAAGGGTACGGTCGGTTAGCCGTTAGCGTAGGTACATCATATCATGGGAAGATCAGAACTTTGTTCCCAATTAAGGATTCTAAACAGCTTTTACTGCATGTGCAAACCAGAAAGCTAGAATGTCTGAAAGTGATGGAATATGCAACTGAAGATAAGACCTTTTTGATCACCAATTGTCTCTACATTTTATTCTCTTCAGCTCATTCAACCCAGAAATCTGACCAGGTTCATGCTATTCCCTTTATTTTACCCAATATTTTTTTTTTATGCATGGTAACTACTACCTAGGAGAATACATTCAGTTTAGATTGTAAGACATCACTCATTATATATGTTCGCCAGCTCAACATAGCACAGAATAAAGCATGAGGGCATCTATAATGTATAGGCCAAGGATGTCAATCTTAGCTTGAAACGGTGACGTGATATGATAAGCCTAAAAAATTTTAGAGTTAGGGCCAATAAATTTTAGCTCGATAAAAAATAATTCAATAAGTCCGAAATCAATAAAACTGATGGCCCGAACTGGTTAGCTCGAAATTTAGTGTGCTAGTTCGATAGCCTGAACTCGGAGCCACCTAAGGATACTCTTTGTTTCTCAAGTAATGTGGAACAAATATATAGGGAATTTATATGTAAACTAATCTTTAGTAATTTTTATTAAATTTATAAATCAAATTTTAATCAATTTATTGCAAAATAAAATATTGTTTATAAAAATAAATAATGAAAAATTCAAAAACTTATTATAATCATTGTATTGTATTATAGTGTAAATATATTAATTATTGGGGAAAATTGTAATTTATGTCCCTCCATAATATGTCAATTATCAATGTCACCCCTCAATTATTAGTGGTGTAAATGTTGCCCCTTAATTTTCAAAACGGTACATATAGAGTCTTCCTGTAGTGTAAATGTTGCCCCTCATTTTTCAAAACGATACATATATTGTCCCTCCCGTACCATACGGGAGGGGCAATATATGTACTATTTTGAAAAATGAGGGACAATATTTACACCACTAATAATTCAAGACTGACATTGAAAATTGACATATATGGAGGTGCATAAATTACAATTTTCCCTTAATTATTTTTAGTTAAAATTTAGAAATGGAGGTTTATATTTTTAGTCCATATCCTCGGGGATGATTCCACCTAGTTCTATGCCTCTATACCTTGGTTCGTTTTTACTTTCCATAATTCTGATTGGTTAATTGTATGTTTAACTAGTCTTTATATTGGCAATAATTCTGATTGGTTAATTGTATATTTTCAATTAACTAGCTTAGTCCTGAAACTGGCGTGCAATTCATGTGTTGTATGTATAGGTGATAACGGATCCAAATGCCCCAAGTCTCAGTGAACCATGCATGAGGGAGCTGATACACTGGTTTAAGATATATATATATATATATATATATATATATATATATATATATATATATATATATATATTAATATTATTGAGGTAAGAATTATAGAAATGATAAATTACTAAATATAACTACGGTAATATTTTAATTAAAACCTAAATGAATTCAAACTTATCATTGAAGATGTAAGAAAATATATTGTTTATGTATATACATGGTAATAATAATGTGGAAAGATAAAAGAGTTATAACGGCAATATATTTTTGTCCAAAAAATAATGTAGTACAACTTTTATATTTTTCATACATTCAAAAGTACAAGTAAAATTTTTCACATTACCATGCAAAATAGTGTCACTTCACCTTGATTCTTTGATCTATCAGTAATCTAGTCCAAAGTTAGGGCTAGGTACACCAGCTGCTGCTCTATACCTTCAGGCTTTAGCCTAAGTACAGGCAGCCACGTGACACACAAACACTTATATATAACAACACCATGAGAGTTGAGTGAAGCAATAAAGGCCATAGCTCTTCAGGTTTCCCCTAGAGTTCCTCCGGGCACTTCATTGATTACTCCTTTAACCCTCAAATTTAGGGCATAGGAAGCTCACTGAAGTGTTTGGAGGAACTCCTGGAGTTACTTGATACACACATTATATATATGCTACCGCGAACTCATGAATTATGTTTGTCAGATCAAGCACTTACCATTACGGTTCTTACGAATGCTTGACTCTGCTCTCCATCTTCGATCCTCTCAGCAGTCGCACTACTGGAAATTATGGAATTTCCGGCCACCTGAAAGTGATCTTAAATCAAGTCGAAAGCCTTGTTCCGACCACTTTTGATATCCGGAAAAACCTTTGTTGCTATTTCCGACCACTTTTTGGTATCAATTTGATTTAAGATCACTTTCAGGTGGTCGGAAATTTCATAATTTCCAGTAGTGTCGACTTTTCAAGCCGCCACCCAACAATCTCTTCCTAGCACCTGTCTCGTGACTTACTCTGATATCAATTGTCAGTATCAAGCGCTTGTTACAACGCCAAAAGTTATAACCAGTAGCAAAAGTTCAATTTTATTTTCTTATACTTGTGTAGCCGTTAACGCTATGTTTCGATGACAGGATGCTGAAAGGCCGAGTCCAACAATGTTCAATAGGGCTCGATCCTATATCATATCACTGTCCACAATCGATCAGTGTTTGGTGTTCACAAAGAACTACTAGATAAGCTAAGGCTCATCATTGTCCACAATCTGCCACAATATAATCAACTATTATTTATTTCATATATATTATGCTCAACAAACGAGATGAGTTTTGCACAAAGTTATCATTACAAATCACACACAGAAATCCCTCATAGCCTGGAAGTCTGCACTGCTGGTTTGAATGTTGATGACAGTAAGGCCTGTTGCAGAAACTGCATTTGGGAAGCTTAAGCCAACACCCCAAACACAAATCATCCGCGCAAGCCGCCTCACTTTGCTCTTCTTCTTCACCCACCATACACACACCACATTCCTCACACCTTCGAATGCAGATGATGCATCCTCTGCAACTGCAAGACTCTCTGGGGCAGTCGAACACTGCCCGAACCTCGCCACACTTTGGGCATTCGTCTATGTCGATTGATGGATCATCTTCTTCTTCTCCTCTGATTTTTGAAATGTCTCGGCGCTTGTGGTACAGGTTCTTGGGGTTCTGGTGGTGATGATGATTCTGGGTTTTTCCCAGAAGATTGCAGAGGGTTTGGAGGTCTTCTTTGGTTACATTGTAGATGCCACTAATCTTTAGGGTCTTTAATCTGTGGTTATTACTGTTTGTGAGCAGCTTCACTGCCTTGATGACTCCCTCAGGTGTTATCCCAGTGCATCCTGGTATGTATAGCTGCAAATAAAGAGAGATTTTTATAGCATGTCAAGAAAATGTCATTTTTACTTCCAAGTGACATATTGATGGGTAACCAGCCAAGTTTGTCAGGTTGTTTAAGGTTCTAAATTTGACTACAAATGAAAGCGGACTATGGTCTTGTTTGGTAAATGGTTGTTAGCTAGTTGAGTTAATTAGAAAGTATAATTAATTGATAACATTAGCTGATAGTAGGAAGGTGTTTGGTAAATTAGTTGTTATCTAATAGCTATTTCATATAATTTCTTTTCTCAAAAAGTTAATTAAGTCAAATAATTAATAATGGTCAAATAAGTCAAAATGTCTGATAGGCTAATATTTTACCAAACTGGGCCTATGATCTTTTTTGATTTGTATAGGTCAGTTGTTAACAACCTAAGCTAGTTTATCTCGTTATGATCATTTGCTCGTTAGAGTCGCAACAAGGACGGAGCCAAGGAGGGGGGGGGGGGGGTGCAACTGCATGCCCCCCTTACCCCACCCCACCCCATATATAATTTTTGTATGTATATATGTATATATAGTACATGATTTAATATTAGTATAAAAAAACCATTAAATGTTAAAAAGAAATGAGTTAGATTAGTTAGCCAAATATATGTGGGGCAATAGTAAAGGGTATTAATATAGTTTTACACTTTTTTTAACGAGATGTGTAATTTATAATGTGTTTTTTATTCAAATTATTTTATCAAATTAATTATGTTTCATATTTTGTAATGAATATTTATATAAAATTTCAATGCTTTTTATTTTTCGCCCCTATCCAATATTTACAACTATATTTTTTAGACAATTTATTTATTATTTTTTTAAATTATTAAAATTTCTGAATCCGTCTCTACTTCTTCACCCCCCTCAATTAAATTTCTGGCTGCTTCTCGGAGTCACAAGATGCAATTTATCCATTACAAATCTTATAATAATAGAAGAAATTCCCACCACCCATTCCTTATCTCTATTCCAAAAAACTCAATCGTCCTATTAGTTGGAAGTTAATTCCATATTTAATCTTAAACTATAGCAATAACTTCGACGATAATTCTAAATTTAATCTTCCGTTATAGAAGAATTTGATAAAACCGATGGAGAATGAAGTGAAAGTACGTAATTTATGGTACCTTGTTAATACGAGGATTTTTCTGTATGACCCGAAGGAGCCCATCATCTGTAATCTTGAAGCAATTCAACAGGGCAAGACTTGCAAGCCGGCCATCCGCCATGGCCGTCATCTTCATCAGAATATCATCGGAAACCCGCGAGTGCAACGGCGGCTCCACGGTGATATTCAGCCAGGGAAGAATGTCGCCATTGACGGCGTCTCTGAGAGACCTGCAAACTTGTCTCATGCATAGGAGTTCATACAAAGGAAGATAAGCCAAGATCAAGAACATGGCTTCTGGGGGTGGTCCAGATTGTTCAGAACTGCCTTCTTCACTCTCGTTTGCTGCACAACTCTTCACCATCCTCTTGATTTGCCTTTGATTGATTTAATTTGTTGGAATTTATGATAAGTTTGTGGGTTTTGTTTTATGGTTTTAGATTACCGGAATGGAGAAGAGTTGATAGATTATGGTTGGAGGATATTGAAGTGCAAGTTATAATTATATATAATAAATCAAGAGTTTTGAAGGAAAAAAAATCAACCTTCCTTTTATTGGAAATAATACAGCACATATATACAAAGAGGTTGTCCTTTGCTCCAAGAAAACTAATGACAAAAAAATATATATATGTATACAAAGCCAAAGGAAATAAATATCAAAAGATCAGGAAAATAACATAATTAAGGAAAAAAAAAACTTAAGAATATTTATTTATAACAAAAAATAACATTGCTAATAATATATGGTGTGAAAGAGATGGGAGGAACCGGGTAATAGTGTAATACTCAAACTTTGCTAACACCAAATAAGAGCATCCCTCTAATGATTTTTGGTAGGATTTTTGAGAAAATAAGGATGATGTGGAGGAAAGAGGGTGCGCAGAGAGAAGAAATTGGCTGTTGTAATAGGAATAATTTTTGGTCTAAAAAGGTGGGGCTCACCTGGAAAAGATGGGGCGCCTGAGTCGCGGAGTCGCGCTTTCCGCAACTTGTGCGTGAATAGTTGTAGTATTTGAGAAGTTTTTGCAAGTGTGACTTAGGAAAGAAAAGATGGTAGTGAATAGAAAAAGAAAAACTGAGAAATAAAGAAAAAATTAAAATATAAGATAGTAAAATGGTGGGTACATAAAAAACTGAGAAAAAACTCAAACTAATGCGGAGAATGATTTTTGTGATTGAGTGAGATAGTATATTATGATGTGGATGCTGGGACCCACAAAAAACTAGAGCAAAAAGTCCAACTGATATGGATGCTCAAGTTTGTTGAATCTGAATTAGTCTCATAGGAATATCGAGAATCATACGAGAACAATATCACAATGTAAAAAGTGTGGTTTAATTTCATTATAGAATGGCAGGAAAGTAAGGAAAAAACGTAATGACATTTTCATAATTATAATTAACGGTGCATTTAAAACGCATAATGGTGCACCATCTGCAAATAATTGTCAGTATAACAGGATTTATAATAGTACACTCACGTGTATGAACTATTAGTTATATATACACAAATACATTATCTAGCGTTTCCATAATTATAGAAATGTCACCTTGATTTTTCTCATTTTGATGAGATTAATATGCACTTTTTACTTGGGGCATTGTTCTGCTTAAACCTACCTACCTACCCACACACACAACACACAACACAGCTACACATTTTGATGAGATTTATATGCATTTTGTGTGTGTGATCAAGTGAGAATATTGCCTCAAAATAAGAAGAAAATGAGAAAAAATCTGCAGCATTTCGTAATTATTACAAATTTCGTTGCATATTAGCAAAAACTTTAGAGTGCATCTGTTGATAACTAATCATACAATCAAGTCGAATGCACTCTAAAAATCTTAAGTGCACCATTAGTTATCTGCAAATGTACTAACAAACTTTTTATAGTGTACATCCAAATTTTATAATAATTATAAAAATTCCATCAAGTTCTTCCTCCTTTTTCCCTTATTTTTCAGCTATTAGATTTTCCAAATCTATAACTATCATGTCATTGAAACCATACCCTCTATAGAGAGATAGGAGAAAGAGGATGAAATATGAGAGTTTATCATTTTGACCATATTTCATGACTTATCTACATGTCCATACAGAAAGAACAAGCATTAGGATTTCACAGTTTTTCTCACAAACTAGATCTCCAAAAAGGTGGTAAAAATTTCACAAATTCATAGAAATATGTTCCAAGAACAATGGTGGTTTAACACAGCAAGCTAGGAACTCTCAAGTTAATCGATAAAACGTATGCATTCCCAGAAATCAATGTTCTTTCAACTTTGGATGATATACAATTCAAGAACACATACACACACCCAACACAAGTTTTCAAAAATTACAAGGGGTGTAGGGATTAGTACTTCGATCTGTCAATGATTTAAGGGTTCTACAGCAGTCTTGAATAGAAGAATGTAGACCTTGTCGATCGAAAAGTACAAAAATCCTCCGTGGGAGTGTGTGACGTATGAACCGAAGCTCGTTCCCACGATGCAATGCCAAGCTGGACCAAAAGTCGAGTCAAATTCCTGAGAATTGTCAAATGAACAAGAGGATTCTTGTTAGATACTAAAAGACTGAATCTAATCAATTAGCTAGTCTAACACATGGCCTTATAAACCCATATGTTCTCCCTGTTTCCAGTGGAACTCTTAACAAAGAACAATGGCTCGATATTACCAAGAAGTTAACAATAAATGAAGAATATGTGAAGACATTTCACATTTACACATTACGCACAGAGGACATGGGGATGGTAAAGCAGGTAGACCTATAAATCAGATATGTACAAATAATTTTATTTTATTTTTATACATAGAAAGGTACATATATACAAATTGGGGTGTATTACACTTCATATAACAAAACCAGAGCTTTGAGATCTCATTAAATTTGTAACGGGTGGGATATAAGAAAAAGAAACCCAATACTACCATCATGACATAGCTTTTGTGAAAGAAGTTGATAGATAAAGAAAAAACATGTCTATAAAAAGAATTAATGTTAAAATGTCATTATAGCTTTCTAGATTGCGTTATCGCAATTAAAGTTTATTTAGAGATAAAGTCCAGTTAGCATCATTGCTCATGACAAGAATAGGTAGTGTTGAGGCAAAGAACTCGAAAATGGCGGGCCATATCATTCACTATGTTCATACTGCATCCTATGATGTTCATCCACACAAGTAAAATAATATCCCCAAATTTGATCTTTAAATATCCCATCCTTAGTCTCTAAGACATCGTACTACTGACTTTGTTACAATGTAGTATTCTCAACCTACTGAAGCACAAAGAGTCAATTCTGCCCTCACTGGGGATCCAAGTTTACCCGTTGAAGTTTAATATCTAAAATCTACCAAAAAGGCGAAATATAGAAAACAGATCTTTCAGTTCATTAACAAGGCTCTAGTATGTTGCCAAAACCTATAGTTTTAAGTTACAAATAAACCTTCAATCACAAATGCACCATTTATATAAACGCTACTATATATATTATCGTTTTCAAGGAAAAAAGGAAATGAAATAGTAATAACTATAGACTTAGGTATAAAATTTTGGGGCCAAGAACACAGATAATCACCAAAATAGGTTTAATTAATACTGCAATTATACTAGAACCAAGAGGCAAGAAAGAGATAAAGATTGAATCTTTGTAAACAAGGGAGGTGCATTGAAGAAACCCAGAAACCGATTCCAAGAAAATGAGGCGAATAGAATAGAGAGAAAGCAGAGGGAACCTTCTTGAGGGCAAGAGCGAGGCGTTTGCTGTCAAGCTTCCCAGAAGGCATGGAGTCTAGATTCTCCTTGGCGCACCTAAACGCCCTGGTCTGAAGAGGCGGCGGCATGTCGGAAGCCCTGACCCGGACATTGAAGCTCTGATCATGGTGCTCCACCGCCTTCTTCCTCAGAATCAAGCTGTTCAAGAACTTGCTTCTCCTCTCCAGTTCTTGCTCTGCTTTCTCCATCATCACACTTGCCTTTCACCCTTTTTCTTTGACCAAGCATAGCTTTGGACAATTGGAATTGGTATTCTATGGCTCCTAGTTGTGGGACCCACTCTAGGAACTCACAGTATAAATAAATAAAGTTACATATTCACTCAATCGCTTAAAGGTTGAAATAAATTACAAGTCATGCAATCAGACTTTCTAATATTTTTGGATTTTTTTCTTATATATGTTTCTGATAGAATTTGAATTCTTGCATTACGAACTCCAGTTATAAATTTTAAGTCAGGTAATGAACTGATTACGTTAAATTATAGGTACTAAATCCTAGTATCTATCCCTAAATCCAAAACCCAACAATTACATATTTAATTCTATTACGGATTTTGATTCCAATTTTGACCAAGCATTGCTCAAATGTTGTACACCTATGGACAGACATGTATAATAAATAAAATGATATGTGGGGATGGGCATATGATTTGCGGGCCAGAGATACATAGAAAGATAGATAGCCTCATAGGACTTGTGTTTTTTGTTTTATGCCTTTCGTTATTTTCTTCCTTCAAAAAGTTAAATTACAGTGACTCAATAACTCAACAGACAGAATCAAATGCTGGTGCGCACAAAAAATCTGTCCACTACCGATATTCAAATCTTAGTGTCTTTTCCATACTGAACGGATGAGTTAAACGCGTGCAAACACCTTTTGTTGTTTTACTCAATTGGTGTCGTACGTTGTTCATTGTCTGCTACGTTTGATGTGTGGCGTAGATTGCGTGCGGACAAGTCAACGTCGTAAGAGAACAGTTTAATGATCTTATTTCCCCAGAAATCATGCCCCTCTTCCACACCTTTGCACTTTCTCAGTTCGATCTTTGCGTGTTTGATAGTCGATTGAATACTATTTCATTTTGTATCTTACTTTATACATATTTGAAGGAAAGATATTCTCACACTTTCTGTAAGGGCCAAGTTCGGTACCTGATGTCTCGAAAATGTGTGGCGGTATATATAAGGAAATAAAGTTTGACATAACATTTGTTACTAGGCACTAACTATAATTTTTTGTGTAAGTGGTAAGCGTTTGATTCTAATAAGTGATATCAAAGTCAAGTTACGGGTGGACTGAGGCCAGACGTAAGTGGTAAGCTAAGTGCTCGATCCTAACAATAGGAAGAAATGAATTAACACTTTCTTCTTCAAGAGGTTCAAATGGGTTGTTAAATTATGACAACATGGTAACCTTTTTTGTTATCCTAATGCGTCGTCGAAGCTTGGTCTTATCTTAGAGATCAGAAAAGGGTAATCTAAAATCTTTTCTCAAAATTTCTTTGTACAATATAAATTAATTTTTCAGAACATTTATTGTAAATTCACTATCTTCATAAAGACGGACGAAAATTCATTCTCTTTATAAACCATTACTACTTGGTTTGGTTTGTTGAATTGGTCATATGTTTTTTCTAAGGGTTTGGTTTTTGAAGTTTCTGCTTTAGGTAATAGTTCAATATATGGTTTTTAGAGGATGGTGGTGAAGACACTTCTGGCCTATTATAATAAGCATCAGCTATGGAATTCCTAGAACTAATTAAAGAAAAAAAAAAAAAAAAAAAAAACTAAACTTATGGCGTCTATAGTCTCTTAGGGCTACATGCATGTATACTAGTATTTAATCCTTCAATAGTTAAGGGTTATAAAGCTATTTGTACTGAACCAATATGTAACAACTTAACCTTGTTGAGTAGTATATTTTAGACAAAGTGTCAAATAGGACTCATGATTTATCATTCGCAATTCGCAGGTGTTCAATTAAAATCTAATTGGACACATTTATTTTTAAAATTATGTTCATTTAGCATTTTCATCTCCAGGTTTCCATCAGGTAACCTTTCCATAATGCTGACATGGAATTTAAATAAAAATAATTTGATGACTTGTTTCATTGTTCACTCATTCAAACTCAAAGAAAACTGCGCTGCTACCCTCTACTTCCTCATCCTCACCACCATCCTCGTGGTTGTTGTTCTGAAAACAAAATCAACAGTTCTCTTGGTTTTGCACTACCATTTAGGATCTCCCTTGTGTGCTCGTGAAAGGTTAGTGAGTGATAGCACTATCGTCTATCGACACTCTGCACATCCAAGTTGAACATAATAGATGCGCTTATTGGCTGTCTAGTTCAAAGTTTCCTGGCAAATTTGGTTTCAAACACCTCGTAGATTATAAGACATTTTACAATTGGTGCACGCACAATCGAGGCAGCTGAAAACAAACAAGAGAAATGAAATTTCAAATTGTGACTAGGAGCGCAAAGCAATGAATAAGCTTTGCCTCCAAGCATTTTAAGGAATTAGGCGGCGAAGAGTTTCAGGAGAATTGCTAGTGAGCTCAACAACAAAGCATAAAAGAGCATGGTAATAGGCATATAAATATTCTACAACCATAAAAAGTTTCAACAACTTCATACTAAAGATATTGTGAGAATATTTGGCACACAAATAACAAGTGGGAGGCAGCAAACAATTTTCAATTTTAAGTTTTCAGTTTGTGAATTTGTTTCCTTTTTCTTTTATATTAATAGTGGAATGTGCGGCTTATAATGTGTTTTAAATTTTTTATGAATATTTTTTTTTTTTGGGAGGGGGGAGGGGGTGGTTAACCCAACAAAACTAAAAAGTGCTAGTAATAGCACACGTTAATGCTTTGTCCCTCATTAAGGCGTCACTGATGTAATCACTCCAGTTAGCCACTCCACCACTTGTTTTGAGTCACTGAGCATGTTAATCTTTTTGTATCCAGTTTTATTACATTTTAATTAATGCGTTTTGATTTTTTATCTCTAGTCAACAATATTTGTAATTATATCATTAAGTATTTTATTTTTTATTTTTCAAAATATCTCATATATATCTCATTTGTTTTAATCTTTCACTCCACTCAAGTAAATACTATAATTAACTGTTGGCTCATATACTTATTAATACATAATGGGGTAGCATGTTTCTTGTTTATCCTTTTGTTTTAATATTTTATTGAGGAAGATATTGTTAAATAGGCTACTAAATTTATTGTTTTTTTTTTGCAATTGAGTTATTGAATTTAAAACATGTACAATTAAACGATTAGCCAAACAAAATATGTGCAATTTGAACTTTTTCTAATATTTTCCAAATGAAATTTGAATTTAAAAATATTTCTTCAATCTTTCATCTCAATTTAACTAGCATAACAAGTTGGCTAGCCAATTCCACAAGGTTTAAAGTTGACTCTCCATGAAAGTTGTCTATTGCCATTTTTGGTTTGAGCCAGTTAGCTATGGGTAACTTAAGCTCGTTTATTTTTTTGCAGTCCTTTGTCAGCTAGGTTGGCAAGACAAACTTCAACCAGAATGCACCTTTAGGTAGCGTATGTGAGTTTTCCTGTAAATCAAATAAAAGACAAAATTCTTAATATATACCATGTAAGTAATGTGACTGAGTTCTACATAGAGAAACTTAAAAAATATTATAATTGCACATAATTTGCTTGTTTGTTAGTTCGGTTACGCGTCTTAAATATAAAGACCCAATTGCACAAAATTAATAAGTTCAATGATTTATTTTACACTTTTTTATAGAATGAAAAAAAAAAGTAAAAAGAAAATGGAATTGAGAATAAAAATAAAAAATAGAGTTAATACCCAAAATGGTCCCTCGACTATGCCATAATTACCAATTTGGTCCTCAACTACTATTCTTACCCAATTAAGTCCTCAACTATGTAACTTTTACTCAATTAAGTCCTCAACTATACAATTCTTACCCAATTTAGTCCTCAACTATACAATTCTTACCCAATTTAGTCCTCTGTATTAATTTGACTATTTGTTGACTGTCAAAAGTCGGGATAAAATTATAATTTTACAAGATTTCTCCTTCCTCTCCATTTAGCAGCGCCAAACCATGCAGCAATACACTCCGATCAGATTTCAATCGTCAAAAAATCGTTGGAAATCAAATTCATGGGCTATCCGATGCATAACCACTACTTCGATACTGACAGGTTTAGAACCCAACCGGAGCTTATTGCTACATGGTTTGGCGCTGCTAAATGAGGAGGAAGGAGAAAACTTGTAAAATTACAACTTTATTTCCACTTTTGACAGTCAACAAACAGTCAAATTGACAAAAGACTAAATTGGGTAAAAATTGTATAGTTGAGGACTTAATTGGGTAAGAATGATAGTCGAGGACCAAATTGGTAATTACGACATAGTCGAGGGACTATTTTGGGTATTAACTCTAAAAAATATTATAATTCAAACAGGCCATCGATGTGATCTTCTCTTTGCAAATTTTCCAAAAGCAAAAAACCAACAAATATTTGGACTTTAATCATGAGCTGGCCGGTCTTACCCTAAATATAATTGCTAGAACAATCTCTTAGCTACGACATAATTACATATGGCCCATTAATATTGAATCCCAATGTTACAAGAAGAAACAAATAAATAGAAATCTCTATAGGGTAAATACAAGTTCAAATTCAGAGTAAAACATACACTATCGTTATATGCATTTTTGGAAAATGATCACAACATAAAATTCAACTACCTATGACTTCTTTAGTTATATATAACTAATGTGCTATAAGAATTAAGAAGTATAACTTGTTTGAAAATACGTAAGCTGACAACTTATTACAGTGCAACATGACATAGGCTGATAGGCATAACTAAATTATAATACATTTTATAATATTTATAAGTTATTAAATAATATTACAAGTTCAACTTAGAGTGCGTTTGAAAATTCAAAAAAATAATTCTAAAATGATTTTTAAAAATTATTTTTCGAGTTTTCAGTGTTTGGTTAGAGAGGGGAAATGGAAATCAACAAAAAATAGGGAATGTGGTCAATGAAAAAATAGATGGGATTTTTTGAAAAATGACTTTGCTGCAATGGCTGCATGTTAGATTTTGTCCAAGGGTCAGGTTTGGGCTTGGGCCAATTTCGAGGTGGGTTTGGAGCTATTTTTTTTATAAGATCTGAATGGCCCTCTATACGCCAATTTCGATCCGGATTAAGTCCGGCCGAAGCTTAGTAAAGCCCATGTTTGTTTTTTTCTTTACCGATTCATGGTTGGTTGACTTAGTTCGACTTTGTCCCAGCCCATAGCCACCTTTATGTCTAATATACTTGTTACCTTCTCATTACTTAGTATAAACTCAAAACCTACTCCTAATCTAGTTTACACTATCAAAATCTCAACAAAAATCTCAGTATTAGCATTAAATTTTGTGTATGAGATTTTAAAAATTATAATAATAATAATAATATTGAACTCCATGTCTCCATTAAAAATAGTCAAAGTTAGATGAACAACACCAAATTCAACTCCCAACTCCTTTAATTATAAATAATGGACTATAAGAAAGCTCAACTGGTATCATAATAACTATCGCCTCAACAATAAACAATTCATCCATATATAGCAACACTATTGTGATATATGCCTAACTAGTCAATAACTCTCCACTCTATAAGTGTAAACTCGAACCTCTAGTCTAATTTAACACTAAAATTTTATGGTTGAAATTAAAAATATATATAATTTAACTTTATAAAGTCTCGTTACACACAAAAAATGAGACGGAATATCTTTTTAAAAAATAGTCAAACTTACACACAAATTGTAAATTACATCCCATGATGTTTCTCAACTTCACTTAGTCGAACCACATGGACCTAACTAATTAACCTAACTTTCTCACAACCAAAATGTCATTAGTTAACTAAAACACACATTAATTATATTATGAGTCATCATGGGATAGAAATCTTATTAGCAAAAGCATTAACCAAAGCCAACGCATTGCTAGTCACCTGCTTAACCTTCACAATCCCATCGTACACGTCGGACTTGAGGGGCCCTTCCGCCACGTCATCGAACCCGTCGACACACGTGTCCTCGTTGGTCTCGGCGGCGCTCATCCACGTCTGCACGTTGCTCAACTGGAACCTCAGCTCCTCGGCTCCTCCGCCGCCGCCGAGCTGTTTCATCTGCTGCAGCGAGTCGCGCATCTGGTCCACGGAGTCGCCGAGCGTGGAGAAGCAGTCGTGGAGGGCGGCGGCGCCGCGGTGGTCGGCGCCGTAATCCGCCTGGCGGGAGAGGTTGTTCACGTACGCCGCCATGCGCTTGGCTTTCTTGAGGCTCACGCCGATGGCCACCCGCGCCAGCCGCCCGGTGTCCCGTTGCACAGCGCTGGCGTAGCCGGAGAGCGACGCGTAGCACAGCTGCGGGTACAGCGTGGTTTCGCAGCTGTTGCGGATGAACTCGGCGTCTTCGGTGGCGGTGGGAGAAGCCACGAAGGAGGCGGAGTATGGGTCGAGGAGCGCGGCGGCGGAGGGTGGCCGGAAATGGAGAACAACCGTGAAGAGAAGAAAGCCGGCGAGGATGACGGAAGTTTTCATGGTGGTTTTGGGTGGTGGTGAAGATGACGAGTATGGAGGGGTTTAAAAAGGGAAAACTTCATGATTCGAAATGACCCTTATACCCTCGGTATAGTGTGAATATGCTCCAATGATTTCGCATTTTTTGGTGGTATGTATGTGTAAACACACCTATATATGGAGATATATTAGTCATTTTTTAACCGAGTAATAAATATGGAAAGAAATTAATTATTACCGTATTTATAATAGAAACAATAGAGTAATATGCAAATACAAGAGTTAATAATTATGGATTGAAAATAATCATTAATTATAGTAATATTTAATTGCGATTATCAAAATATTTTACAATAATCCAAGGGTATTTTCGTCTAACACAATGTATAATTGTTTTGGCACATGCAAACACATATACGTAGTATAAATCTCAACTGACATGATAGAACAATGCAATTAGTTGATCGTTTAATCACGAAGATTGTATTTTTTAACAATTAATAAATTGCAACACGTAACATCAAGACAAGCTTTTTATTGTGTAATATGATAACAACTCTATCATATTTCAATTAATTATTTAATAAGGCTAATGGAAAAAAAGGTCATAATGGTGAATCTTCTCACGGATTGTTTGGTACTACGAAGTATTTTACAGCAGGAAACATTATCATCTATTCGGTCCTATGTTGGGGTCGTGATGGATCACTGCAAGACTACTATGCCATTATTTAATCGTTGCTCTTTAAATTATGTTTCTAGGCAGGTTAATTTACATATTCATACATTAGCTTCGTTAGTTTTTACTCAGGGTCGCACTATGTATTGGGATTCGATCCCTCCGGACTCTATTGCTGCTTTGATTCATTAATACAATCGTCTGATTGGTTTTTTAAAAAAAATATTTCAATTAATTATTTAATACTTAATAGATAAATGTTAAGAGTATCTATCAAGACAATTTAGAGCTTGAATATGCTAACACCTCTGATCTAAAAACAAATATTATTAGCCATTCTTATTCACCTTTAAGATTGTACCAAAGTTTTATTTAAAATAAATAATTAAAATGGACACATTAGGGGTCAAATGATCGGTCAACTAACATCAATATTATAAAAGGATTAAAATAAAAAACAAACGGAAAGATAGACCAAGTATATAAATTTAATTAAATCAAATAACACAAATAGACTTTCAAAAAAAATAACACAAAGCATTTTTTCTTCCAATTTTTTTTCATCATTTGTTCTTTTCCCGCCAACAACAATATTTCTCATTCTTCCTGTTAGGGAAGGGACAATATATGTCACGTTTTGAAAATTGAGAGACAATATTTACACCACTAATAATTCAGATGCGACATTGATAATTGTCATATTTATGAGTAATATAAATTATAATTTTCCCATTTTAATTTCTATAATTTTACATGACCAAGAAAGCATAAGCAACCTGAAGAAACGAGTCCAAATTAATCAATTTTGATAGCTACTCATATTCTTTAAGAAGATTGACACTCGAGCTCAATTTGAGTTAATTACCATAAGTTACACACAAAAAAATATTATAACGAATCCGATGTGGACGTCTTAAGCACCGCAAATCATGCCATATCTCTGCAGCGAAGTATGATTGCAACCATTAAAACCCTCACTTTTTCTTTTCAAAAGGTATTTTGAGACTTATTAGATTAGACATTAACATGGCTTGGTTTTATATTTGACCTTTTTTTTTTTTGGGAGGGTTATATTTGACCTGTTGATTCAGGAGAAACTTGAATCAGTTGACATCGAAAGCGATTTACAATTTAAAATTCTAGAAATATACACTATATATATCATATTAACATTTTAAAAAATGTAACTTTTTTTAATTTTAAAATACGAAAAAAAATAATATTATTTGCAGACTTTACTTATTTTTTTGAACTTTGAATTTAAAAAAAAAAAAAAAAAAAAAAAAAAAAAACTAGTGGATCGGCCTGCTGGGCCCGCCAACCCGCATGAGACGGGCTATAGTTGCATGAACCCTAGCCCGCAGGCTTGATGGCCCGACTCGCAAAAGTCCGCCAAAAACTAGGTCTGAAAAATTTTGCATGTGCATCCCTTGGAAAATGACTTCCCCCCCCCCCCCGCCCCCCCCCCCCCCCCAAAAAAAAAAAAAAGGAGAAGTCGTTTTCCTCCATAACATTCCTATTTTCATTTGACTAAGGCATTATTTTCCATTGATCTCATTTTTCTCCTCTTGCCAGACACTGAAAATTCGGAAAATATTTTCTAGCAGTTATTTTCTGGGTTTCCAAACGCACCCTAAGTGAATTAACCAAATTATTTCAGTTGGTAATTAAAGTACATTAGTTCGATTAACAGTCTTACCTTTAAAAAAAATTATTTATCAGTTTGTTCAGTTAAAAAATTTAAAATTCATGAAATTAACTGAATTGATAATATTAATATTATGCATATTTTAAAATACAATTAATTGTTAGGATGATTGAGTGGTCTAAGGCGTTAGACTCAAGTTCTAGTCTTTGTAAAAGGGTGTGGGTTCAAATCCCACTCTTGGCACAAAAAATAAATAAAATTATAGTTTGTACTATGTAGTTTTTGATAGCTGGTTTCCCTACATATAGAATTTATGTTAATTTGATAAATGGTTTTTACCAAAATAAATATTTGAAAAGTTAGTTATGATTATTTTAGCTTAAAATTAAACAAAATAATGGAATGATGTGGGTGCAACACGTTAAATTACGACCACGGCAACGAGAGGCTACTAATTAGCAAGTTTAGTCCAAAACCTAGATTTTCAATCTTCTTGCTAGTGTCGATATCAAAAATATTTAGTGGCCAATAGCCTTCATATAGAGGTGTACTATATATGGGGTAAAGTTAGAATTGAGGGTCAAATCAAAATTAAATTTAATATTTTAATTTGGCTTTAAGGTAAAATCAAAACCTAATTGAAATGTTTGGTTTTGGTTAGGTTTATATAACAAAATGATTAATTATAAAATTATCATCGAATATTCATAACAATAATTCTTTTGAGTTCTTCCCCTCTCCTCTATGATTAAAAAAAAAAAATCTCAATACAATTACAATAAATAAAGAGAGAGAGAGAGATAGAGAGAGTTAAGTAGATTTTTTTTGTCTATTTTATGACATTAAAAGTGTAATAATATGTATACACAAAATAATGTGTACATCAAGGGAAACGGTGAGTCATGACCGGAAGCCGAAACCTTGATTGTGGATTGCAGAGCTATCATGAGGTAAATTCAGGAGTGTGAGATTAACCATGTTTTTCGCGAAGGGAACCAGTGTGTCGATTACCTTGCCAACTTGGGTCAAGACAATGCCTGGGACACTATAATTCTTGAATCCTCTCGGAAGGCATTAAGGGTGTTTTGGAAAATGACGTAATATCCATTACTACAAGAAAAATTTATTAATCTTGGGGCCTCTAAGAGACTAAGACTCCTCTAGCGCATGAAAAAAAAAAAAAAAAAAAACTATTTGAAAATAAGATTTAAAAAATGGTTTGAACTCTACTTCGAACACAAGCCATGCCTTTCTCAACTGCAATAACTGCTAAAAACAATTTATATAATTTGAGGTCCATATTTGTTTTGGTAAAAAAGGGAAGTCCGACCATATTTAAGGTAAAAATGATTTTGTCACAAAATTCTTCCGTGATTTACTCGACGAGACGACGACAAAATGATACAACCTCATCACCTCAAATAATTGTCTTAATTGACAAAGGTGTGAACCTTAAGCGGGCCATACATTTGTTACACCTGCCTGCTGCCGCAGATCTTGCACATAATTTGGGGAAAGGTGACCCATCAAAACACGACCAAATGAGAAACATATATGAGAGTTCAAACCAAGAATTCGTCGAGTTGACAAAGTTTAAGAGAGACTAAGAATTTATTGTATGATCGTTGTTTTAGGGTGAATGTTTTCCCCTTTGTTTTTCCTTCATTGGATCCTTTTAAAAGATTGGCATGGTGTGACTTTGTTCTTCCCAAAAGGCTGAAACCCCAACCCCAAAAGTCCCCGGTCCCACACCACGTTTTGACAGAGCATTTGGGATGATGCAAATTATGGTAACTCAGTTGAACATAGAGGCTAGACATTTGCTTATTGCACACAATGAACCCCCCTCACTTTGAGAGGTTGCTTCTTGCAGCTGGAGAGGCTCGATCCTGATCATTCTTCTCTAGTATGTTGGATGTGGCTTAGCTTTTTCACTTTAAAAAAAAAAATTATTGTAATATGAAAAATATGGTACATTTAATTAAAAATATTTGCCAACTACTATGTAGTGTAATGACACATCTGTTACTATTTCAAATAGATGATCACATGATCGAACTCCGATGGTGAGGCAGTGATTTATATTTGTCAACAATTTCAGTTCATAGTATACATAGTCTTTTCATATTTTGTCTCTCAACATGTGATGATTCTTCATTATATCCTACGTTGTATGTCCCTACCATACTCTTTATGAAAATCTTATCCATGATCTTCAATTTAATTGTGGTCATAATTATTATCATGTCGAATTAATTATTTCACCTTTGAAATTTTGTATGTTAAGAACATGTTGACATGAGCAAAACAATACTTCACCCCTGTCTGGAGTGGCTGTTCTAAATATGTATCATATCAATGATTATATTTCTTTCAGGCCCTATGATTTACAAATCTTTTGTTTCGATGACGAGAAAAATACACAACTACTACTCAAGGGTACATGCTTATTGAGTAAACTTTACTTCTGTTTAATAGCCCGCTAACCATTCATCAATAAGTTAAGTTTTAACGATTCATTAATATTGCATTAAGAAGACAAGAAAGAGATCAGACAATCTCTGTCTAATGTCTCATGTCTGTTGTTTGATCTGCCATGCATGGGTGTGTTTGCTGTTTCTGCATCTTCCTCAAAGTCCTCATCACAAGACAAAGCATCAGAATTCTCCATAGCTAGATGAATCTGGACATGCACTGTACTATACTTC